CACTCAGTCTTAAATAATCTGCCTTCCTGCTTCAACACTACACTTCATCTTGCCTGTGTGGAGAGCAGCTTGGGGACCTCTGCTCATTGCAGGCCCTTTTTGCAGTATCCGAAAGCTCTGCATGAAAGGGGTGAGGTGCGGGGATGGAGTGTCTCCACTCAGTAATCTACCACTGGGCGGTCCAGAGTTTCCGGGCAACCCTAACTCTCTCTCAGTGAATAGTTTATGCCCTGGAAACTGTAAACAAAAAACACCTAAATGCCCAACTACCAGGACAGAAGCCCAAACATTGCAGAGTTATGTGAAATACACTCTTCCAGGTGAAAATACACTTAACTTTAAAGATACTATGTTTTAAATTTTAAGGATTTTCACAAAATTGGATAAAAAGTTCGGAATTTTAAAAACACGTAGCGTCTTAGGCATATTTTGCAGTTTGAGAAGTTTATAAAGTATACTAATGGTTTGTTACTTTGTAATTAAAATCCAGACTTGCTGTTATGCAATTTAAGTGACATTTTAATTCCAACTCATTCCTTGTAGGAACTCTAACTCCAATTAGATTATATGTGTTGAAGAGTATTGATAAGAGATGATGTTTTTAAGAAGGGTTTGTGGAGTTTGAAGTTTAATTATCCTCAAAATTATCAAGAGTATCCTCAGGTATAATATCCTTAGCGTATATGTAGACCTTCATTTCAAATCTTAAAGGAAATATGTCAGTATTTAACTGACTCTCAAAGCATTTCCTACATAGATTATTTTGTGTGTTAGCAAAATCAGTGTGTAATTGATATCCTATGTTAAAAAAAATCTCCGTTTTCCCTCCACACAGTGAACATGGCCACAAGCAGGCTAATAGGTGCTGTGGCAGGCACCATTCTGGCCCTGGGGGTGATTTTTGGAGGCACAGGGTGGGGAATAGAGTAAGCATCTTTGTGAGTTTCAGAGTGTTTCTGTTTGGTTCCTGGTGTGTGAGCTGACCCTTGGTACCTGGCCCCTACCATGTGTTGTCTCGTTGACGTATTTCCCATGCTAGTGCAACTTGTGGTGTGACTTGGATGTGTTTGTGTCGTGTGGTTTTCTCGTGCAGTGAAGAACCTTCTCCTGTCTGGAACAATGTGGGGCATAAAATAATACTGGGGTGCTTATGATGTCTTCACAATTAAGACGATGGTCCAAAAGCTTCCATTGCTCCTCTGCTTGTAAAAGTCATTTTAAGATACAGACCTTTTATTTTCATTATTTTTTATTGGCAAAAAAAAAGCTTTTATATGAGTGTTTCTTTAGGATTCCTTTAATGAATGTGATCTTCACCAAATAGATCCACATATCCAACTAGGAATTATCAACAGTTGTAGCTTCTTTTTAAGATAATCTGAATGATAGTCACTAATATCTTTTCCACTCAATTAAAGTGATAGGGGAGGCTTTGGCTTAATTTTTTTAAAGAAGATATGTAGGATGTTGCCTTTATTTTTTTCACATAAAATAGATAATTCAAATTAGAAGTTTACATAAATATTTGGGACCTAACAGTATGAAGAAGAAAGAGATATTTATCCAAACCTGCAAAACCTTCAGTGAATAGTTGCAAATTATCTGGTGGTTTGTCTTAAAAGTAGCCAGTGCATTAATAAGTAAATTCTGTATCTCTTGCCTGTTGATCTCTCACAGAAATATAAACTCTTCTTGCACCTTTATTTAGGTTGCTCTATACTTGATTCACATCCTCAGAATAGCTGTCAGTTCTCCACGGGATATTGCTTTCATGAGGTTGCTAATCTGTAGACCAAAAGAGTATTGCGATTTTCCCCTCTCTCTCTAATTCTAGAGAACATTTATAGACGACAGAAATACCCTTCATGTGCTGTCTTTGTGTTCACGAGGGCGGTGGTAACACTTCCCAGTGGCCCAGGGATGGAGTACTAGTATCACCGAATACCCTCTACTCAACCGGTCCAAACTATGGGCATGTTGATCCTATTACACACATTCCTCCTTAGTCCCAGTAATTACAGCCCATGGATGCTCTTCCATTCAGGGCCTGGGAGACCTGCTAAAACAGCAGTTAAGAGGGATGCAGGTCCGAAGGTCCTGCTCTGTGTTGAAGATTACCTGAACCTTCTCTCCCTTGGTTTGGAGGACTTTGACTAGACTTGCATCTGCTCACTCAATATCCCACTGGTAGGGACTGTGAAGCTAGTTAACTCAGGGCAGCTAGAAACACTGGAAAAGCTATTTTGTTTTTCTTTACTCGTTAGAAAAAAAAATAGTATGGTAGAGGTAACATCTTTAGAAAAAACAAACTCTGTCTTGTAAAATCTCACCTTGGATCTGCTGACTGGATTATATATAGAAGTAACATTCCTTTTCCAGGGGAAATTTTATATATACATTTATGTGAAATTCCTCCTTGAAGAAAGGTAGTTTTCTAAAAAAAAAAAAAAAAATCATTCCAATGGTGTTTTTTAGATTATTTATTGACCATAATTGTGATGTGCTGCAGTGTACCAACTAAGGGATGAATTTTAATAATTTTCCCTTTGAGCCTTAGAGATAGGCAAACCCCAAGGCATTCGTTGTAAAGCATGGTCCTTGGTACCAGGCTTTGTTCTCATCCTCCCTTCCAGTCTTGTTGGTTTGTGCCTATTTCTGGTTGTGACAGGTAAGTCCCTATAAGTGTATTTTTTTCCTAAAAATAGATTTGTTATTTATTATCCTTGCTTGATGCACTATTTTTGTTTATTAGCTGATTGTTTTCCTTCTATTTCTAAATTTTGCCATAATTGCTAAATCATAAATATAATTTTTTAAAAATCCACAATAGCACAATACAAATGGTTTTAATACTTCCTAGCTTAGCTGATAGTGTCATGTTCATCTAGTCACTAAGGATTCCATGAACAGAAGGTTTGGGTTTTTTTGTGTGTTTGGGATTTTTGGGGGGGGGGCGGGAGTGGGGGCTTTTATTTCTACTCCTTAGTTTATAATTGTAAATCAGGAATCATTTCTCATGAATTATGTATTGATTCTAATCCCAGCCTGTTTTCTGAGCTAGTAAAGTGCAAATCATGCCTAAAGCATAATGTACACGGAAATATAAATATTTTCTCAATGTTTGTTTCAAAATGTGTTTCCTTATTAAAGTGTGGGAAGGAAATACATATAAATGGAATGTTTCATTAGAGCAGGGGTTTGCAAACTTTCTGTAAGGGGCCAGTAGGTAAATAGTTTTGACTTTGCAGGTCACAGGATGTTTGCCACAACCTTGTGACTCTGCTGTCTTAGCACAAAAGCAACTTGTAAACAACATGCAAACTAACAAGTGTGGCTGTCTTCCAATCAAATTTCTTCGCAAAAACAGGAAGTGGGGCCAGATTTGGCCAGTGGGCTATAGCTTCTTGACCCTTGATTTATAGCATAAGCTTCAAAGACAAATCAGTCTTCAAACCTTGCCTCTGTCACTACATTCTAGAAGCCACTGTTTCTTCTTCTATTAAACAGAGATAGTCATAATTCCTACCTCAGATGGTTTTTGTGAGGATCCAATGAGCTAATATTTGTCACGTGCTTCAAACCACACCTGGCACATAGTAAGTGCTCAATGCAGAGTAACCAGCCTGCTTTTCTTGCTCTCATTACTAGTTGTTATTATTCGTGCATTTTTGAAGGCCACTGAGATGTGTGTTCCGTAGGACCTTAGTGGTTAGTCTTAAGAACGTGTCACAAGCCCACGAGCCTGAAGAGACCACTTCCTCAAACCCCCACTGCAGCTGTCCCCCCCACCTTTCTACTCACCCTCACAAGCACTGGGTGGTTTCTGAGTTAAAAACATGTGATACACACAATTTTAGAGGGGCTCAAAGTGGCATCCATTTATGTACACAGTTCAGGGGACCAATGTGAGCAGAAAAGAGAATTTTTTACAGAGAAATGAATATATTCACAAAGTCGAGGGGTTTAGGGAAAATACCAAAAGTGGCTTTGTGACTTCTGGAACAGGACATTCAGTTAGGACTGGAAGTATTTTGCTGTTAGGGGCCCTGTACCTATGTATTAGCATCCTGAAGGATGTGATATTCAAAATAATTCTTGTGCTAAAGTTAATGTTGCTTACATTGAAAACTCGAGAGCTAAGGCATTGTCCCCTGTGAGTGAAGAGGATGTGCTATCCTGTGTATCACCTCTGACTCAAACAATAGATGGAAACTCCACCTTTTGTTTTCTGTCTTGCTGTCCTTTCTGCTCCCTTTTTAAAATCTATCTCTAAGCCTCAACTTGCAAATGGGAACTTGAAAGATAGTCTCAATTGAACCTGCAGAATCTTTTTTCCATTTCCCACAGAATTCCCCAGATGAATTTTATGCTTCCTCCCTCTCTTGCCTTTGGAAACTGCCTGCCATTGTTTCAACACTGTATGGATCCGTACAGTGAAGAAATGCATCTCTGAGAGCGAAGCTTCAAGAGCAGATCTTTATTAGTAACCTCCTTCTGACTTTTAAATGTGTACTGTTTCCACGTGGGAGATTAAAAAAAAAAACAAAAACACTTGGTGTGGGGCTTGAAAGAGCACTTGATTAGAATATTTTCCCCTCTTTTCCTGCCCTCATTGGCCAGTCAGGTAGAGCTAATTCTAATGCACCTGTGTTCTTGATGTGCTCTTTTGCTTGTTTGATTCATGATATTGGGAAGGAGGAGGAGAAGAAAGATGGGCAGTGCCGGCCGTTGGGGCGCATTCACTTCAAATTCTGTGGAAGTTGAATTTAAAGAAACTTAATTGTCAGTGGTGCAGAAGCTTTAGATGTAGAGGCAATTCCTCTCCAAGCAGTAGCATCGGAAGTGCAATTAAGCTAAGTCAATAAAGGCGATTGAAGTGTTTAGCAATTTTTTTTTTTTATGCAGGGTATTTACTTCCTAAAACCGCTTAACTGCCTTTCCCTTGTGGTAACGACAGTCGTTGGCTCATATGACTTTCTTCCCATGATCCTTTGTCACAGGTCCTAGTGCCACCAATCTCATAATAGGCTCCATCGCTGGTGCCATCCTGGTAGCAGCTATTGTCCTTGGGGGCACAGGATGGGGATTTAAGTAAGCAACGGCGCATGTCTGCTTCTCAGTGGCTCTGGCACTCCTCTCTTCTGCTTACATAACCAAGTTTTGAGTTCCTGCTACAAGATTGCAAGGTTTAACGGTAAACTGCTACAAGTAACTATTTTTATTGAGAAATGGGTTAGGAAAGAAGAAACCTGGAACCTCAAACGTCATCTTCAGGCTAGTGGGAGAACAGGAAATGTAGAAGGCACTCACATGCCTGAGCTTCAGGAGAACAAAGTAGAGGTTCTTCAGGAGAAGACACTCCAGCTTTTAGGAGCAAACATCCTGAGATAATGTTTTTTATATGGGATAATTGGGAAAAGAGATAGTTGGAAATAAGTGGCTATAAACCCTTTGTATCTGTTTAAAATTGGTTTATGTTCCACTGACATGTTGAGGTTTGCACAACCTAAGTAACTATTTGTTCATTAGTTTTCACACGTAACACATTATACGTAGCTTTGTGATTTGAAAAGCTTCATTATTTTATAAAAAATAGATTTAAAAAATTTTATTAATTCCCTAACTAATTGAATTGGTTTCACATTGGAATTTGAGATCTGTGGCTTTGTGATACTTAAATATTTTCTAATTAACTGCAAATTAACTGGTATGTTTCCATAGTGACATTTTAGTTTGGACCGTGCATTGATCACTGAACTAAGTTTGTTCAAATACACATGGCAGATATTCACAAATCAACCTTAATTATGATCAAAATTTGTAAAGCTAACTTATCAGGTTTAGGTGTTTTCATAGCTCAGATTCATTGGATAAATAATTTTTATATCTTTTCATACTGTGGTGGCTTGATTATTATGATTTGTAGATAAGACCTCCTTTGACAAATACTCCCTGTGATAAATTAAGTCCCAACCAGATCTATAGAAACAAATTTAAGTGGGAAATAAGACCATTACCTAAATTCAAAGCCCACTTTGCCTCCATCTGGTTACTCAATAGAGGAAGTTTTTTACTTGGATTGTCTGAATAATTGCATTAATTATGAACTTTATGCTATTTTACATTTTGAATCCCGAATTCAAAATATTGAAACCAGATAAAATGTTATTAGAAACTGATTATGAAGGAAAAACGAACCACACGATGATTTAAATACATTCAACATTTTCTGCTAATTTTGTTACCATATTAGGATTTAATGAGTAAGCCTACATATTGTTGAGTGGCTTCAACTTGGAAAGTTGTTATCAGACAGTACTTCCTTTCTACAGAGATATTTGTAACCTTGAACTTGTTTGCTGAAACAGTAGTTTTGGCATCATTATGTTTTCAAAAACACACACACAAAATGGGCAACTCAAATTTGAATTTCTGACTGTGGTTTTAACAAACCATTGCCCAGATAATGAGTCGCTCAGGGTACCTAACAACAACAACAACAAAAGACATATATATTGTTGTTGTTGTTGTTGTTTGGTTTTGGCTGGCCCAATTCAAGCAAAAATTTTTCTTAATGCCATATTACTGTAAAAAAGTCATTGCACATTATGGTAGTTCCATGATCTGTTATTATTTCATAATGCTCCCTTGAACTTTTTCATCAATATGCTTCAAGAAAAATAAATTTGGCTTGTGCCCAAGCTTAAGCCTTCTTGGCATCAGGAAGCCTCCGTTTCAAGGCCTGGAAAACAGTCCTGTGCATCTTCTGCTATCCAGCCACACACAATGCCAAATTGTGACCATCTCGGCCTTTGGAGACAAGAGCACTGTTCTGTAGCAGGACCTCAAAACAGTGGCCTGGCCTAGCGCACAGCTTGAATTGCATGTTTCTTTGGGGAAAAATGGAAAAGCTTTTATCCCTGTGTATATAAGTGGATTAGGCCCTGTGCAGATTATTTATATCTGAGAGACATGTCTAATCATCAGAAGAACAGAGAAAAGGAAGGGGAGATGGACACCTAGTGAGGTGAGAAACAGCCTCTGGTGACCACCGAGTGGGGACTACCGTGCAGACATGCGTACTGCTGTACTAAGCCAATGCCCCTTCCCATGCCCTCTGACCCTAACAGTTACTGCAGAGGAAGATGTTGTAGGGAGGCACATGATAATGTGAAGTATACTTATGGCCTAAAGCGAAGAAAAAAGCAAGCACAGAATAATTCTTGAATGTTAGGAGTTTAAACTTGGAGGATCCACTGCTCTTCGTGATGACTATTGGTTGCTCTCTGAGGATCTGAATTTGCTTTAGATTTTAAGAGTAGCCATGTGGTTTATATTAAACGTTAAATAGCTACTTCTACTTTGCAAGAAAAGGCTTTGGGTGCCCAATGATGCAGGTTAGCCCCCCCCCAACTTGGGCAGTTTTGGAGACTATTGGTCTAGAAGTTATTTGCTAATTGAACTGAAAGTCTTTGAGTTTTTCATTGAGTTCAATGTAAATACAAAAGAGGGTCATTTAGGATCAGAAGTAGAAAATAGTTTGTAAAAGAGATTGCTCTAAATACTGTCATTGGAAATCCTTCCTGGAACTGTGTTTTACTAGAAAAGAAAAGAAAAGCAAATAGCAAAGTCACCTGAGGATTTGGAGGGTCCATAACCTTTTAGGTTAAAGAAAAACATACTAACTGCTCATGGGAAGTATTGCTTTTTCCTAAAGTCACATTTCTTGGGGTGGAACACTGCGAGTTATTTAAGTGTGGAAGAAGTGTCATACCATACATGACCCGTTCAAGTATAAATGAGGAAACAGCTATGCTCTGACCCCTGACAATGTCTGCCATTCTCCATAGATTTTTTTCTTAAGCCATATTTCCTCTGAAATAGGTGGTAAAAAGCATGAGGTTTTGTGAGTGTGCATGCGTGTGTGTGACTGTGTGCACCTTGTGAATAAATGATAATGAAGTTTGGTCAAGATAATTGTGATAAAAAACAATATAAGTCTAGATGACATCTTTCTAGCAGAATAACAGAGTCTGCAAGCTTTGCTTAATGCAAACAAGACTTCCATAAACAATGTTGTAGAACTCCTGAGAAGAAAAAAAAAAATGCTTTATTTGGTAGGTTATTTCACTGAACATAGTCTGATCCATGGGGTAATGTGTGGTAACCAGTTAATCCCATACTCCAGAAGTAGTTAGTTTATGGATTCCCAGTCTTTGGAGCATTAGTACCCTGAGAAATCCTGTGAAAAATGAAGACAGGTTCTTGGCACACTGATTTGTCCAACTTTTCCCCCCAAATCTGCATCTATTTACAAGCCCTCTCCATCACCTGCACACACAGAGTAAAGCTAGGGAGTGTGCTGCGGAGTATTGCAAGCCTTGGTCCTGGTTGACTCATGAAGACTCATAGCCTCTGTTCAGTTTTGAACAGTAATGCTGCTTGATTTGATTTTTAGGGCTGTTGCTTTACTAGACATTAGCAAAATCAAGTAGATGGAGGATCATTTTAGTAGCATCATCTCTAAATCTTAGGAAAGGTAACAAATACATGAAAAGAGGATTTCATGTCTCCATTTGAAAATGAACAGAATTGCGGGTCCCACCCTGGACGTGGTTTTTTTTTTATTGGACATTCCCTAAATGTGAATATAGGAGTGAGATGTGAGCAATATAGTTATTTTACATGACTATGAAGTATGTGAACACCATAAGCGATGGTGGTCAGAAAGAGAAATTCTAGGTGATAATAGTTAAAGAACTTGAAGGTAACAGTGACATAGTTTGTTGACTGGATTGGGGGATGAGTCTTGAGCTCTTCCAACCATGTTTCCATGCCTCAGACTATGGAGTCCTATCACCATGTCCCACTTTCCCAACATTTGTTCTCTCAACATAATTCAGTGGCAGTAGTGGTCATACGCTTGGCAGAGCTGCTCTTGACATTAAAAGTGTTACTTTAATAAGTCTGCATAGTAACCGTGATTTCCTCTCTACGAGAAGTTACTTGGGTTACAAGTTCTTACGGAGCCTGAGTTTGACCATAAGCAATTCTGTTTGGCCTGCTGTGTTCCATTTCAGAGGACATGCTAAAGAAAAGGTACTCACGTAAATGATATGTAAAGGATCATATCTGGGTTTATCACAAGGAAAGTTGCAATTTTGAATGTCAAGTTGGATGAAATTTGGAAGGAATTTAATATTGCTAATTATGTTTTCTCAAAAGAGTAAATGTCTTTTGTTTCTGATTTTTGTAGAATTAGGAAGTGGAATCAACTGTAGCTAGTGTTTCTATGAGGAAAACCAAGCTGCTGCTTATCTGAATTCCATGACCATATCCCAGTGGGAAACAGGAGCCTAATTTCCTTAAATCCTGTAGCTCCTGGGTTAGGCACTTTCTCACTCAGACCTAGCAGGCTGGCCAGGAAGACCCAAGGTCAGCTCCCTGACTCAGCCCTCTAGGGAAGTGAACGCTGTCAAAGGTGGCCTAGGAGGGGTTGAGGGAGGGTGAGGGACGACTCACTGTGGGAAGAGAAGAAGGTGATAGCAGTGGGTAAATATATACCCTTGAAAGAACTAAAGGCTTTATAAACCGGAGATGCCTGTTGTTACCTGAAGAGCTTTGTTTTAATTTTGTATAGATGTATATACATATAACATATATTGTACACAAAAGTACAGGTTTTTCAGACATAAAGATTTATGAAAACTGGGTCAATGCCAAGCTTATGGGTTATGCTAATATTGTATAATGATCCAGAAATACCTCACGGGTTATGATGAGAAAGTTCGTTGCCTTCCCAATCCTAGCGAGCAGAGGGAATTCACATGAAACACTTGTGGAAGGGAGGCAGCGAACATCTACCTGTGATAGTTGCACTTTCACATTAAAATGGAAAGAAAAGATTTTTTTCCTGTAGAAAATTCAGGGCAGGCAGTTCTCAGTATACGGTGAGTTCTCACAAGTCACTGTGGTAGTTTTGCAGTTGATACATGAGGAGCCCTCCCAGTCAGCCTGCCACGGGAGGGTCCCTCTCTGTCCTCATCACAGAGCCCTGCCTTCCTTCTGCTGGGATGTCTGTGGAGGAAATGTAGTGCCCTGTTGTTATTCAGAGTCCACTTTCCCGCAGAAATACAGGGTTCTACAGGGTGGCATGGCCTCCTGGTCTGGCCTGGGAATGCATTCACCCTGTAAAATAGATTTTCTTTAAAATAACGCAATCTAAACTTCCAACACTGACTTTGGAGCACAAGCTTTTGGACACTGGAGGTTGACTGTATTCCAGGCTGAAATGGAAAGTCCTATCTCCATTTAAAAATGGCCTGGATTGCAGTTAAGACCTCGGACATGGCTATTTATCTGCCATTCCCTGAATTTGAATAAGGGAATTTAGATGTGAGCAATATAGTCATTTACATGCACAGCCCTAGCTGACTCGATCTTTCCTCTATATTCGTTTTTAATTGAGGGGACATTAGTTTCGCATTTCTCTCCAGTTCCAGCAATAGATAGCTAAATTGGTTGGAGTCCCTGGTCCTTCAGCGTCATTTGGCAAGGTCAGGCAGTCCTTGTTTTTCACCGTCTGACTCATGGGGAGAGTTGTTTCTTACACACCTACCCTTAAGGTCTGTGAGTGTGGGTAGTAGGCACAGGGGCTGTGCTCTGAAGCAAACGAACTCTGTGCCAGATGCATTATGGGAGATGTCCCCTTTGGATCCCAAAGCAGCCGTACTGCCTGCTTTCAAAAGAGGGTGGTTGGAGGTGACAGGGGCTGGGGAAAAAAAGGAAGTAGCCCTATTGCAAATAGTGTTTGCAGCAATGGATTATCTGCTAGGCCAACAAACCACAGGCTTAGGCCATTAATGAAGCCATTTTAATGAAACCTTTTAAAAGAAAAGGGAGATTTTCTTTAAAGATTTATTTTTTTTTTCAATTTTTGTTCTTTCAAAAAAGAAGTATCAATGTGGTCATCTTGGGAGAAATGAGAACTTTTGCGGGATGCCTTTATACATATTTTGAGCTTTGGTATTGTTTTTATTTTGAATTACATGGTGGAGGGGAGGAACACACTGTAATTTTTTGGCACTTAGGGCTGAAAGGGTGTCCAGCCGGCCCTGAGTGGGCAGGGGAGAGAGGGATCTCGGGGACTCCTCGGGCTCCAGTCTTGCATGATGCCTGGTGGCAGCGTTGCACCCGCCCAGTGCGCAGACTAAATGCATGAGCCCCCTTGCTTGATGCCCCACATGAAGCCAGACCATGGGGAGGTTGCAACCAACTTCTGTTGTTGCCTTGTAATGTCTTGCTGGTTCTTTTCTTTTTCTCTTTCTCAACATAGGAACCACTTTTTAGGAGACTGGACACTGTGAGCAAGGCATTTTAACTTGCTTATTTCCACTAAGCTTAACTGCTGCATTTGCTTAACTAACCCGAGCCTGTGTCCATTCTCCTTGGAGTGTACCGTCTTACCGTGCACTCTGGTTTTCAACTTGTTAGATATGAAAAATGCTTGTTCCATGGTGGGGTAAGAGCTCACACATCAAGGCAGCAAGATAACTGGGTAGAACATAGCTCTTTGCCCTCATGGCGAAGGCCGATCCACTGATAAAGAACTCTCAAGTGGTGGAAGGAGGCAGCTAGGAGCCCTTCAGAGTTTTGCGGAGCTCCCCTAGTAGCCCCCTGGAATGTGGGAAGAACCCTTCCTGTCATGTTCGTCTGGTTAAAATTAGCCCATGTCCTTTACTTCCGAAATAAGAGACCAGTTGGACCGCGGAGGCTTCCAGGGATTTAAAATGCACAACTCGAAGCTTCTTTTGGTCTTTACAAATGGCTGTACTCTAGTGGAGATGTTGTAAAGACATTCAAACGTGTGAGCTGTTCTGTACCTCCAGTTATTTTGGGAAGTCTGCCCCCGTGTGAGTTGATTACTTTGCTCTGGAACTAGTGTTGTTGTCATTATCATCCCCTCCTCTCATCATGATCTGATTAATAGTGTGGATTTTTCCCTCTCTGCCTGCATCTCTGGAAGAAATGTCAAGAAGAGGAGGTTCGATCCCACTCAGCAAGGCCCCATCTGAATCCGCGGCAGCGGATGAGCGGTGCCTCACACTGTTGGATTCTGGGTGAGACATACCCGCTGCACCCTTGCTGGAACTGTTAAGTCTGTAAGCAAGACTGCCGGGTGGTTAATGACCACAGGACTGAAGTTGGGGGACAGGGATGGGGTAAAAGGAAACTGTGCTTTGGGGAAATAATTTCAAAGAACCCCTCTCACCACCTGTCAAGAAAAGGGGATAAAAGACAATGTTATAAAAAGAACTATTTCAGAACCGTTTTTTTTTTCTAACTAAAGGAAGAAGGAACAACAAAAAATTAAGTGCAATAAAAGAACCATTAAAAAATAGCAAATGATTTTTTTTCTTTCCTCAGCCTGCTGGCACATAATATCTCCTAAATGATTTGGCATGATTTTTTTTTTCTTTTCCTACCAATGACACACTCCAGCGGCATGAAGATCTAATTTTCGAAAGGGTAAAATCCGCATGGCATATCTACAACAAGCAGCTAGCAAGCCAATCCACAGCAAAACCTGCAGCTGAATTCCCAAGGTGAAGGTGGCCCGGGAACACGCGGAGGTTGCCTGGCCCTCACCCCCTCGTCTAGACCAGGCCACGAGAGACTCCACGGACCCCTGCTCTTGTTGAGTCCCTTTCCCTTCGTGTGTTTGCCTGGACCAAGCATCCTTTGGAAATGGGAGCTGGAATTTGAACAATGATGCTATTGTATAGTTCTTTTATAAATGTAAATATGGAAATAAGAGATTTTGACACATCATTTTCACTTGTCTGTACTGGAATATTTTCCTTGTAAAGGTTCTCTGTAGATTTGAGTTTATTGTTTGCTCCCCATCTTTTGGGTTCTTTTCACTGTTTTCTCTCTCTCTTCTCTGATAATGCGTTGTTCAGTGATTTGGAGGCTTGCTTCCAAAAGACAGATGTAGCCGCAGATGCAGGGAGTTTGGGCACAAAACAGATGCAAGTTAACAAGGAAATGCTTGAACGACATGAAATGCTTGAAACCAAAAATAAGCAAAAGCGGGGCAGGGGGGACACAAACAACTAAATAACCCATATTAAAAACACAAAAATTATGTAAATGCAAATATATGTACTGACAAGTCTAACATTTTTTGATGTCATTATAAATGTATGTATATAATGTAAGAAAGTAGACACCCTCTTGTATGAATCACAAAAGTGCCAAGCTCATGATTTGCGTTTTTGGTTTTTGACAGTTTTCTTTCCCTGTCTTTAATGTGAAAGGAGGATAAACTTAAAGCCTTAAATTAAAAAATAACTTTTCAATGTTAAAAAACTGGGTGTGGGGGGAAGTTAGGCTTTTCATTTTGTTCACATCGATTATTGTCAATATCTCGTTCATGCCTCATCTTCCCGCCTCGAGATGCAGGTGGTGGAGCCCCAGCGGCAAGCTGCTAAAGGACGCAGAAGCCGTGGCTGCTTTCCCGTGAGCGTGGCTCTCGTGGGCTTTACGTCTGTGTGCTGCATTTTCCACAAATCTTGTTGGGGGCCCGTAGTGTGTGACCGGTCTGTGGGATGTTCTGGATTGTGATGGGGTTCTCCTACTCACAAATTCGTGATCTAATTTTGCCTCCAGGCAGATGTGCAGATGTAATCTGGGTTCCCAAGTCCCTCCGAGTTTCCTTCACCGGCACCGCTTTCTTCTTCCATTTAGGATCAAGATAGCTTCCGTTCAAGTGTTCAGTATATACATGAATAAAGAAATCTGGTCCTGACTTGGTTTTGAATGTAGAAACTTGTACGCGAGTCCTTCAGTCAGCACCCACTTAGAGACGAGCTTTCCTGAAGCCCCCGCCCTGAGAACCTGCACTTCTCTAACGTCCCCTTTTCAGGACCGGCGGCACACGCCATCCTACTATTCCCTTCGTGACAACCAAATGAGTTGCTAGATTTGGCTTTCAGTCCCTTTCCAGCAAGATTCATGACACCAGTCTCACAGTTTTTGCGATAATGTGCTAAAAGTGTACTGCTTAAAACTGTGGGGTTTTTTTCCCCCCGGGTATATTTAATTGCGGCAGTATCACAATCATAGAGCAGAAACCTTAATTTCAGTATGCTGAACTCACCTAACATCTTAATCCTGTTACTGCTCTCTGAGTACTAGGTGCTACCCAGGTCCGCAGTCTTTCTCTAGAACTAGCTGTATATTTATATTGTAACAACAGGGCTATCTACAAGGTTTATCGGCCTTATTCTTGGCTTCATGAGACACAGGCTGTACCCCTCCACCTAGTGGCAATGGCCCTTTCAGCCCAGAGGAAACTCAGATTACTTGGCATCTCTTCCTGTCACTGTATTGTCTTTGTTGCTAGATCCTACTCCCTAGCGAATTCCACCTGTTCCTGAGTGCACCACACACATTTCCCTGCTCTTCCGGAGGCACCATGGGTGACTTCACAGAACCAAAACCATGGTGGTTGCAAAACAACTTAAATCTCCATTATTAACTTTCGAGCATTTCACAGACAACATTGTAAGTGTGCGATGTTACGTTTTAAATCAGACCACAGTGGTCCCCAAATATTATGTACATAATGGCAAATGTCGGTGTAACTGTTTGTTACACTGGCAGTCTCCTAGGTAACTGAACCTATGTTCCAATGTTAAATTATCTGTGTGTATATGTAAAATACACAAGCTTTAAGCTGCCTGTGTATGAAGATGAAAGATAATGCACCCATACCAACCGTAAACAATGGATTATAATTATTTTTGGTGGTACTCGGTTATGTCATTCCGAACTCTTTGCTGTCTTTTCTCTTGCACATGCCGTTCATTTGCTGATTTTTGTGGTGAGAGTAGTCCTTTTTATTAATTTGAGCTCAAAGCATAAGCGTATTGCTGTCTCACTGTTACCCAACAAGAGTTAGTGTTAAGTGGTGACAAGTTCCCATTTCATCTGCTCTTCTTTGCTGCATTAATTAACGACACCTGGATGAGGAGGTGTGCGCTAACTTCGTTGCTCACCTGGGATACTGCATGAGCCCACTGAATTAGTGCTACTCCTATTAGATAAATGAGCAGTACACATAGGTGCATGTTATGAAACATGAATCATATAGAGCTGTGGAGTTTTACCAAGTAGTATGTTTTTTGTTTTCGTTTTTGTTTTTACTATGCAAAGATGGGAAATGCACAAACTTCTCAAAGACTCCAGTGTCTGAAGAACTTTACAAACAATACTTGAATCTTTCTTTCAAGTCATCCCATCATATTTTATAGTCATTGTTGCTTCCATTGTTAATTTTCATTTTTAAATGGTTTGTAATTTTTTAAGTGTACAACCTGAAGTTTTGTTTGAAGTTAATAAATTCACTCATAATTTCGTTGGCTGCCCATGAATGGAGATTCAGTAGTCATTGTATGCATCTTTTGGTCAAGTGTGTATTAAAATCTTTGTTAATGTAGACTGTTGTAGCTTTATACTTTGATCAATTTTCTTAGGCCCCCTTTTTTGTGTTATCTTGTGTTGAATCAATGGACATGTGCCTGATGTCAAGAGTTTTAGCACTGGCTTCTCAGTCAAAGGCTCACGGAAAATTTAAGCAGTCAATGGAGCAAAATAAAATCTCTGATTCATGAGAAACCTATTCCTGATTAGAATTCAGTTTCATTAGATTTATTGGAAATGCTCTGCCTCTTATAAATCAGGGGGGGAAAAACCCACCTTAGGATCATACCATTATCAATTTTTTTTTCTTTAGTGTCTCTCTTCTGCATCTAAAGGGGATGGCTAGTAATAAGATCCACACTTTTGACCTGGTACCAAATTTACAATCAAGCTATAAAGAAAATAGAAGTATTTGGTTATACAAATTGTTTTATCAAAAACATTCGAAGGAAGGAGTTTCCTCACACCTCATGTGGGATTGGTCACCAAATGATACTCCTTCTTTACAAATGTCTTTCGGTCTGTCTCCTCCATCCTTGGTTTGGCCTCAGCAGACACAGGTAACTCACATACATCTAGCACACTGACATGCCAAGAGGTTGATCTGACCACATCGTTCTTCTGCTGAAAGTTCACAGGGGCTCTTCATCTCCTCTAGGATGAAGTTCAAACTTAATAGTGTGACTGAAACTTCTCCCTGCCTTTCATAGCGTCACCCTTGTTTGTTTTTCCAGCCATCATCAGCTTACCCTCTCAGTCCCCTTAAGATTCCCCTCCAAGAGCCTCTTCTATCCAAGCTGAATAATCTTACGGAAATTTTATGTCCATTCACCATAATTCATTTGTTTCTATGTCATTTCTTGTAATAAAAGAAATACAGAAATACTTTAAAATAACACAAATATCATACTTTAAACCAGAAAGCACATGAGAGTATCATTTAAGTTTGACTTTAAAAGAATTATCTGATTTTTTTGATGCGTTTTCCTTTAAGTCATTCTGTTTTTGAGGTTGACATTGAACTGATTTCTCCCCTATGCTCCCTTGGATACTGACTGAGAAAGGTGGTCTGAAACCAGAAACTCCCTAGACACAGAACAGCAGCCCTAGAGTTAAAACTTGGATGTGAATAGTTAAGTAGATAATCCATATGCTCACAATGGAATTCTTTTTTTTTTTTTTTTAAGATTTTATTTATTTGAGAGCGCATGAGCAGGGGGAGGGGCTGAGGGAGGGGAGTGGGAGAGGGAGGTGCAGGGGCAGATTCTCCACTGTGCAGGGACCCCCCACCTGGGGCTGGATCCCAGGACCCCGGGGTCATCACCTGAGCGGAAGGCAGACGCTTAACCGACTGAGCCACCCAGGTGCCCCTCACAATGGAATTCTTAAGTCACTTTTGGAATTTAAGATAGGCACCCTTTCGGTTAATGTGCAAGGGTTAGGGACTTCCATTTATCAATTTACTCATTTAACAAATATTTATTAAGCCCCTATGCCAGGAACTCCTAGTGGAAATTGAAGGAACAGAAGGAAATCCTTGGTCTAAAGTTGCCCACAATTTAGCAGAGAGATACACGATCACCATGACAGACAACATCATGAATGGGAGAGATGAGAACTGATGGGGGGCAGGTGGGAGAGGGATGCATGGAGGCTTCCTGAAGGAAGTGAGTTTTGAACTATCTTGAGAGATGACAAGAGTTCACTAGTCTAAGAAAGTGGGAAGCACACTCAAGGCACAGGAAGCAATGTGCCAAGACCCAGGAAGAGCTGCTCAGACCCTCGGTTAAGGAATGCTAAGTGTCCATGTTTCCTCCTATTCTTTCTCCCTCCCTCTTTCCTTCCTTCTTTTCCTCCTACCTTTCACAAACGATCTATAAAAATCCTACAGTGTTGTGCCAGGTCACAGGGATGCAAGGATGAGCTCACAAATCTTGGAAACAAGATGCATCATAAGTGTCCTAGTGGACATAAGTATTAGGTACTTCAGAAGAAGAGAGGAGGGTGACTATTGCTGCCCTTGAGATCAAAAAGGGCTTCACAGGGGAGGTGGCATTTGAGAAAAAAAGTCTGTGCCACTGGACCTAATTGCCGTGATAACTAATTGTAAGGTTAACCAGGACTTATTTTGGTTGGCGGAAGTCCGCTCATAAATACCTTGAAGAAGAACAACCTGTAACGTTGAGTCTAACTTTCAGATATCTGAATTCTTCTAGATTGTTTGGAGATGATTATTATCAGATTCTCTGCCAGAACCTTGTATTCGTTAAATATTTTCCCATGGATGTGCTCATCATGGTTCAGTCTTAAATGTTTGGGGCTGTCAGTAATGACAACGAGGGCTTTTTGACCTGACCTGTAAACTTCTAGTATTTTCTTCGCATAAAGATCCCTGGCTTAATTTCAGTCTGGAGTGAGGGGGTGAATAAAAACCACAAATGCTTTTAAAGCATCATTTAGTGGGTCCTTTGATTAATGAAGGGTCAAAATCATTTTCCACCTGCGATTGCACTTCCGGTCCACTAAAGTTGATGTTTATCTGTTTTTTCTGCCTTGGAGAGAAGGTTACCATTCCTTGAGCTTTTCTGAAACCTGTCAGCAGGTCTGGCTCCTTGACTAGAACAAGGTCTTGGCCACAGTCGTGACTTCTGGAGAGAAAGCAAATGCCATGATCCCTCATTAACCGAAAATAGTTGTCCTGCTGGGATCTGCTGATGCTCCTTTGCCGGCTGATTGCATGCACACATACACACTGGCCCTGGTGTGGCTGCAAAGGCTGCACTTGTGACCCCACAGAGTCTACCCTTATGAAAACGTTTATCCGACTGTGATGCTCATTGAAAGCCAAATTAGCTGAGTCAATCGATCGGTCCTACAAAAACAAGGCAAAACAAAGCAAGGCAAAATAAAACAAAACAGAACAAAAATCTTCATCCTGAACGATCAGGAGTATGTCAAGGGTTCTTCAGATCTCTTTGGAGCTTGAAATAGCTTCCAGTCTTCAGGGGGTAAATGAGTTTGCAGCAGAGCTCCCTGCTTCTTCAGGCCCAGGCCTCAAGGTGAAGACACAAGAAGGTAACTTGGATTGTAAATAACATCAGAGACGCCTCTAGTCTGCAGCAACAGACATGGCATTATGGGGCCATTGCAAATCCCATAGAGATAGCAAATGGACTGTATGCAGTAGGTTTTCCTATAGAGGTGAAAGGGCCATAAAACAAGGGTGGCAAATTACCCAAATGAACAGAACGGTGCAGTCTAGGAGACCAGAGTGGGTGGGGAAAGTGAGCTGGGCTGGAGAGCACACGCCCTGTCTCTACTCAGCTCCAGCCAGTTG